AGAAACAGTCGCCGGCGGAGCTCCTAAACATATAGGCATCTGTGCCCTAAGCCAGCGTGCAATCAAAGCTTGCTGGAGCGTTGCAGTTATGATACTTCCTCCTCCTTAGTTGATTGACTGAAGGCCCGGAGAACTAAGCCTGAGTAGGCAGCAATATTCAAGGAGACGTTGCGGCATGTTTTTCTTGCGCTGCAGCTGGGGACCCCTCCCCGAGGGTTGCGTCAATCCTGAACCCTTCCAGAAGCCACGAGCCGCCGCAGCAGCATCGGCCGTTGCTACGGCTGCAGCTGTAGCGGCTAGAGCAGCTGCAAGGGCTATACAGAAGCAAATCAGTCGAGTGCTTCCCCCACGGCGGAGCAAGCAGCAACAGGAACGGCTCATCCAACAGCCTCAGGCTCCCTGCTACTTTGTGTCGCAGGACATAGACGATAAGGACCTCCTGAACAGGTACTGCCTCAGTTTTAGTAACTGAGTGGGATGGAAAGCGCAGCTGCAAAAGTTTAGAACCCAGCTATTTATGCACCAAGTATTACAGTGTGGTTGCATCAACTCGCTGCGCTGTGGCCGCAGGTTTGGACTTTTGATCTCCCCCAAGTCCACCGCCCGCCTTCTGTCAATATTTTCTCTCGCACGCCGAGTCGGTGAGACTCCTTTTGTACTTCGTGGCCTAGTTGCTGCGTACTTTTGCTGGTATTAGCTTGAGACAATGATCTAAAACTGTTGCTTGTTCAGTGTTGACCGTGTGTTTTGCTGCTGCAGATGCTGCTCATGCGTTCATAGAAGAACGCAATGAGGCGGGTATGATTCTTCTGCGGCAGGCAGCTGCAGGTATTGAGGCCTTAGAGTTGTCGATGCAGCGCAGCATGGCATTTGTAGAGCTTCTGCGGCCCCTCGCGCGTCAGCAGCGGCAGTTGGAGCAGGTGCGTTTCGCCGGTACTTCTCAAGGTTCCTTCACTATTACGTGACTGATAAGCAAAGAAGAGCTGCTGCTGGATACCATATGCATGATGCACAGATTTTGCATGGCGAAGTGATTGCAACAGGCTTGTTTGGTGTCGCATGCTGATTTTCTAGGCTAAGAGGGACTGTATGGTGTTTCTGTCTGTGTTCCTGCCCACTCTGCTCAGGGGAACAATGCTCTGGATGTCCGCTGCAGTATAGCAGCGGCTGCTGCCACAACCACCACTGGCTT